CTCCCCCTCCTTCTTTCACGAATATCTCGACTTGTATTTAAGATAAATGGATAATTTTTTCACCAAAATAAACACAATTGAACAAGCTTTAAGATGATATCAAAAACTCTACCTGCCCAAAAATTGACGAAAGCCTGATTCCACCACGCTGCATCACAAATGGTACTTTGTAATTCTTAAGTTGCAATATGTCCCACCAGTAGAAGATTAAAGGCAACGTTGTGCAGAGCCATACTTCGGACCATAAACCTGTTTGAATGTCACCCTTTTTTTCAGAAAAAGTGGCCCAAAACAGTTCTTTTTCAACCCTTGTCGAAGGACTACAGCGCGAGTGCTCAATGAGTATGCATTATACAGCCTTGCCTGGGCGGTAGACACAGAGGAAGTAAATTGACTTAGATCTAGGTGTTTTGTTCGAAAGGGAAAATTCTCAATGGTCGTGTTTGAACGGACTCTCTGATGACGTAGTGGACACACATCGCTACTTTAGAATTACAAAGTTCTCTCTGACATTTTTGGCCGTTTTGAGTAAATAAGACCATGAGGCCAGAAATTCTATCTGCTCTATCAAACTCGTAAGATTAATCGGAGTCGTTATGAATATATTCTAATAAATGCATTTAAAAAAGCTTGGCATATTGTGCAACTGAACATTTTTTACGTCAAATTTCTCGAAACAAGGTACTGGGCAGATAAAACATTGTAAGTAGTGACATGTCCAACCAGCAGCAGACCAGGACCATTGCGAACTATCATACACAAATCAGAAAAACCTATTTCATATTAATATGCATGTTATGGCCAGCCAATAAAAGTCTCATATAAAGCATACAATGTTTAAAACAAATCTCTTAGAATACCAAAAACAGGGTTCATCAAGCCATTACTCTAGAACTACAGAATTCTATCTGCTCAGTACCTAGTTTTGAGAAATTTGACGTAAATAATTTTAAGTTTCACATCATGTCAAACGTTTTCGAATGCAATTCTTGGAATATCTTGATATCTACTCTGAATTATCTTACGATTTTTATAGCACAGATAAGCAATTTGAATTCTGGTCTCATTGTCTTAGTCATTCAAAACAGCCAAAAAATGTCGGATAGAACTTTGTAATTCTAAGGTAACGAAATGTCGAAAGACCAGACTGCGAGTCCCCAATGAGTTAAAGGCTTGTTCTGTTATATAGTCGAGTACTGTTATCAGCACATGCGGTGTTTAAAAATATCATTCTACCTAAAGAGCTTAAGAGCTTTGGAATTTATTGCTCTAAAAATAAAACTTGTGAAATATGATAATAATTTTTAGCCCAAATTCTAGTCATAAAATGTGAAAAAGAGTCTCGAATATTTAATAAAAACTTTTCCTATACAATGGTAAGGGGAATCTATGAGACACCGATCCCAAATATCAAAGAAATACGTTATTAACTGTCAGAGGAGCAGCAAAAAGAGAGGAAGGGTGATTGTTTGAAAAAGGTGCATTTAAACAACACCCCCGCCTCCCTCACCCACAATCACAAATACGTCTACTAACTCACACACACAGAGAAATAGAGATAGATAGATAGATAGATAGACAGAGAAAGAGAGAGAGAGAGAAAGAGAGGCACATACAATCACACAGAATGAGAGAGAGAGAGAGACAGAGAGAGAGAGAGAGAGAC